GTCTACCAAGCGTCCAGCTTGGAAGCAGGACAGGAGTGGGCACGAGAAAGGGGACAGCTCGGGGAAGAACTGCTGTCCCGAGGGAGGCAAGCTCCTGGCTCCCCTCCTCCGAACTCAAATGCCTTCCCACCCCTGACTGTCTTCTCTGCAGAGCCTCAGCTTTCCTCAACAGAGCTGCTGNTCCCCACTGCCCCGAGGGAGGCAAGCTCCTGGCTCCCCTCCTCCGAACTCAAATGCCTTCCCACCCCTGACTGTCTTCTCTGCAGAGCCTCAGCTTTCCTCAACAGAGCTGCTGGCGAGAATGAACCAAGACGTGACGATGGAAAGTGGGGAATTCCACGCAGCCTGCGTGGCTCAGTAGTTGGGCATCGACCTAGGATCCAGGAGGTCAAGGTTTGATTCCCGGTCAGGGCACATGCCCAGGTTGCAGGCTCGATCCCCAGTCGGGGGCATGCAGAAGGCAGCCGATCAATGACTCTCATCACTGATGTTTCTCTCTCTCCCTCTCCCTTCCTCTCTCTGAAAATCAATAAAGATATATTTAAAAAAAATAAAAGTGGGGAATTCCATTTCCTACATTATAATTACACATGGATTTCAAAAATATTTAAGGCACCATTCCTTGGGTCATCTCAGAATTTCTCCACAGTCCAGTCTAGGGTTGCGGGAAATAGCTGGGAACAGAACGACGGAAAGAGAGCCCCCAGCAGAGCCCGAGTTCAGAACTGAGACTACAGAGTGGCTTTTGGTGCTCTGGGGCGGGGAGCGGGGAGTCTCCCCTTCCGGGTGATAGGCACAGCTGCCTCCCCAGAAAACACACCTGCCGACAAAACGACTTTCCTTGTTCTCTTCCAACTCTGGTTAAAATTTCTACTACAGAGACAAATTACTAGAACGTCAAAACAATTTTCTTGAAAACGCATTTTTCATAAAAATGCTGTTTATGTTAACATGTAATGGGTATTATTATTAGAGGAATTAATAAACATTTATTTATTTTTAAAAAATATATCTTTATTGATTTCAGAGAGAGGAAGGGGGGGGAGAGACAAACATCGATGATGAGAGAGTCACTGATTGGATGCAGCCTGCAACCCGGGCATGTGCCCTGACCAGGAATCGAACCCCAATCTGGATCATAGGTCAAAGCTCAACCGCTGAGCCATGCCCGGCTGGGCAACATTTTAAAAACTTCAGTTTTAGTTTCTAAAACANGGATCATAGGTCAAAGGTCAACCGCTGAGCCATGCCCGGCTGGGCAACATTTTAAAAACTTCAGTTTTAGTTTCTAAAACATGACTCCATCCCCTACACCTATGGGACCTAAGTGGGCTTGGCCTGGCTCCCTGTCCCTGAGACACTAGGGGGCGGCAGCAGGGAAATGTAAAGGAACAGGTTATAAAGAGAAAGAAGTTATTACTACACGTAGGTGTTAAAATGAGCTATCAAGATGGAGAATGGATTGTTCAGCTTTCTTTAAAGCACAGATATTATGTTAAGAGTTAATGTAGAGACTTTCGAACAAAAACCGAACTGAGATAGGATGTGCAAAATGCACTGCTGGGGAACAACCCTTGGGCAACCGTTAATATGCTTAAAACAAATCACTTTACAAAAAGCATTAACACTTTTTAAATTGTAACTCTGGGTACAGTACACGAATTAAAAAACATAACACATCATCGCATGATGTGATCCTCCAAAATGGCCTTTAGGACCCTCTGAGCAATTTATTAACATTTTAAATATTTGTAAGATGTCCCCAGTTATGTTTCCACAGCTGTGAGTGTTACACCAAGAGCAGCTGCTCCAAGATAAGTTCCTCCGTCAACCTCCAGAATGTCCCACTTCAAGTGGCTCATGAGCCCATTTGTGGCCTCCCTCCTTAAAAGTGCGCCATGAAATGAACCAGCAGCAGGAGCTGGGCAGAAACTTTTATTTCCAGGACACATGTGGACAAGCAAGTCAAACGTAAACATTCTATTTGAAACAGAAAAAAAGAAAAAAAAGAAAAATGTACCAACACATATTATCCAAGGAGCAGAAATTTCTAGAAAAAGGCCGAAGCTGCACAGCAGCAGTTATGACCAGTATTTTGTCACACTGAAAGATATCCTGCCACACATGGCAGGGAACTCTTTTTTCAAGAGGGGCCATTCCTAGTCCCATTCAGTAAAAAAATGGCCAAATCTTAAACCCACCAAGTCACCTTAGAGAGGAGGAACCAGGGCCGCAGGAACTAGGTCACTGATTGAGGCCACCAGGGGTCAGCATTTTCTTCAGCCAACCTAGGGCTGAGATGTTCCCACACCTCTATACTTTACTTTGGGACTTCATTTCCCTGCTAAGGACCCAGGTCATCAAACGTTCCTTGTTTGAACCAAAAGGTGTTCTGCAACGTAAGCCACGGGCCCCTCTCCTGAGAGCCTAGGCAACAGCCAGCCAGGACTGCAGCGTCAGGACCTTCCCACACTTGGAGCCGTGCAGTCGCTCAACTGTAGGCCACACTCTGGGACGTGTTCTCTGTGGGGACTATACCCAGCCCTGGCCAACCCGCCCTGGCACATCTCTTGTCCTGCACATATCTTGGGCTGTAGCCCCGAAAGTGCACCTGTCCTGACAGAGGTACGTGCACAGGGTAACCTGAGCAAAGGCTGAAGACAATGCAGTATTAAAAAGGCTTGAGCCCTGGCCAGTGTGGCCCAGTGGCTGGAGAGTCAGCCCATGCACTGAAGGGTTGTGGGTTCGATTCCTGGTCAAGGGCATGTACCTTAGTTGCTGGCTCACTCCCTGCCCCTGGTCAGGGCTTGCATGAGTAGGCAATCAGTCGATGTCTCTCTTTCACATCAATGTTTTGATCGCTCCCTTGCTCCCTCCCTCCCTTCCTTCTACTCTCTCTGAAAAACAATGGGAAAAAATATCCTCAGGTAAGGATTAACAAAAAATAAAAATTAATAAAAAGCAACACAGGAATGTCAAAACGAAACGAATCCTGGTTACAATATTCAAGTTCAGGGTAATACTGCAAGGTGAGGAAGGGAAAGAGTGTGTAGGAATGGCTTAATCCACCTGTCCAAGTCAATCATGTTTGCTAAGTGGGTGGAACTCGATGTGAGGAAGTGGGATGAACACTGAGGGGAGAAAACAGCAATAAAAAAGTAAGGTTCGACTCAAAGTTCAGATCAACTGAGTGCCTCAATCTGTATCCCTGCAAAATCATTTACACAGTCACCTGCCTAGTGTCATGCTGAACATGACATGTTGCCTCTGGTACCCTCGTGAGGAAGTAGTGAAGGGCCCAACATCTCAGTGTTTTTCAGGGGTGACTTCAAGCTCTGTCACTCTAGCTCTTAAGACAGTAGCACCAGAAAAAATACAAAAAGACAACTGGGGCATCACATCAGACACTGAAGGCCACACCCAAAGAGTCTTCAGCAACTGTAAGTCTGGGAACCCAATCTACCTTAAAATCACCCATTTTATATATTTTGTGGTTTGGTTATCCTTCAGTTACTGATTTTTTCAGGTTCAAACTTAACATTATCCATCCTTACAGCCAGATTCTTTCGGCTAAAACAGGAACAAGTGAACCATAGCTGTTGAAGCTTCTTTGTGATGAGAACAGTGGGAGGAGCGGGTATGTGAGCAAGAAAGGCTGAGGGAGCACTAGGAAGTCTTAGCAGTTTTAATGAAAGATCCACAAACTAATAAAAAAAACCCCAAAAAGCATACACCCTTTTGGAGACACTAAATTGCATTTAAGTCGATTTAGTCAAAAGAGTGACATGGAAGTAAGCAAGTGAAATGCAAGAACGCCACCGTAAAACTTGATTGTCTGCTATAAGGAGAAGACAGGAAAAGACTGGTCCAGACAATCCCTAACTACCAACAGTCAAGGAACCTTTAAGATTTCTGCCTTATGCTTTGGGGAGGGCAACAGATTTGCTGGAATAAACCACCTGCTGAATGCTTAGAATGCACCCAATGATACTGAAAAGGTAACCTACGGCTCAAAAAAAAAAAAGGGGGCTACCATATACAGATAATGGCCATGCAGAATTGAACTCAGTCTAATTTGGCTTACAGGAAGGGGTCTGACACTTGCAAATTAATATCATCTGTGATAAGATCAGAGACCTTGGATCCGGCTCTGGAAGAGAACCAGGCCACTACATCAAGCAGCTTCTCTGCTCCCACTGATTCAAAGGGCCTATTAGCTCTGCTGGGCTCCAGACAGCTCCTGGACCCTTAGCCTGAGGTCCTCCAGTTCAACAGCCAGTCACAGGAAGAAAAGGCAAAGCCAGGGGCTGGCTCTGCAAATGCTCTCAAATCACAACTATGTCAGAGGCTACATCGACCCCACCAGGTAACACAACCCCACTGGGCGTCCCAGCTGTTCCGCAATGAGCCCAAAGTCAGGAAGCAAAAGAAGTCGGAATTGGCCAATACAGGCAGAAAGAAAATGTGAAAAGACAGAAGACTGTACAAAAATACCCAAACCAGATAAACCAAAGTGTACCAACACTATTGGGGAAAGAGGCTAAGGGGATCAGACAGCAAAGAGCTGGCCCAGGAAACCAGCAGCACCCAGCACAGCAAGGGTGGTGGGAAAATGGGCTGCTGAAAGGGGGACCTGGCGCTTGCAAAGGAGGGAAGGGGCAGGATGAAAGCTAAAAGGAACACGAAGGACCCCAGCTGGACAGCCCAGCTGGACAGAGCCTGTGAAACCAGTCTCCACCAGACTGCTGCCAGATCCGAGGCGGAGGGAATGAACCCGCAAACAGCAGCACAGATGCACACGATGGTCACAGAAAAATCCATATTTACCCAGAGTAGAATAAAAACCAAAATAGCTAAAATTGAGGGCGAAGAAAGAACTAGAAGAAAATCTCTTAGAGGGAAACGCAACAAAACCCTAGGTTTTACCAGCCTCGGTTTTTCTGCCCTAAGTTAAAAGCTGTTTGTGAAAACGCAGAAAGTGAATATTTGAGAATAGTTACCTCTGGTTCTACTATGTCTTGTCCTTCTTTTGAACTTTTTCCACTTTTTCCGGCTTTTGTTCCTTCCTGGGAAACATCAAACAGAATTAATTAGGTTTTCTCAAAGTTTGAGACTGCTAAACAACAGATAAATCAAAATGCGGTTCTGAAACCGATTTATCAAATGTAAGTAGGACTTGGGGGTAGTTTCGGTCCACACCAGCGAGAAATTCTCATCAAGTCGTTCAGCGATTTCACACTGGGAACCCCCTGCCCCCCACGCTCGGACCCGTTCCCCCGTCTTCCGCGTCTGGGGTTGAAACAGGCAGAAGCGGAGCAGCCGGCACGGACACAGCCCGGCAGCGCAG